CCTAAGCTCATTAATTTCAATGGGCTGCCTAACGTGTGGGAACATGCAAAAATACTGCAGGCATGTTATTGTAAAAGTGTGTTGCACCTAACCGCACAGTAGTGTGGTGCCATGCGTTTTGGTGGCTGTGAATGCATCTGTGTTTACTAGACATGTGGAGGTGCATTATGGTACCTGCGCACATCTGCAGAGGGCATTGCATTTCTTTGCTGTGCTGGACAATGCGTGCTCTTGCATGCGTTTCTGCACCACAAATGGTGTGAACAAGTCCTAAGGGCCAGTTCACACTATAGAAACAGTCTAGATGTGTTCCAGATGTGTTTTTTGATGCATGTTTAGCGGGTTCCAGAGCATTTTGGATGCGTTTGTGATGTGTTCCACTGCATTTTGGATGTGTTTTTGGTGTGTTCCACTGCATTTTGGATGCATTTTTTTTTTGTTCCAGTGCATTTTTTATGCATTCCAGTTAATTTTTTTCCCCTCTCTCTTTTCTAAAATTTAATTAGGGACATGTGTGTTTTAGTGCGTTCCAGGGCGTTTTACCGCGTTCCAGAACAGTTCTATGCATAAACAATGCAGCCTGTTTGACTTTTTTGGCAGCACCTGCAACGCACTGGAACTGCAAGCGCTGATGTGAACACATTGACAACCATATCACCTTCTTTCTGTGCGTTTTGGATGCAAAAAAAGCAACTGAAACACATGTAGTGTGAACTGGCCCTAAAGGTTATTATAGGTCAGGGAACGGGACTGACCAGGAATTGTGAATTCAATCAGACTAGTGGTGAGATACAACCAGGAATCATATAATAATGTGAGATCTGAGCTGGAGGTGATAGGAAATGAGACACATTAACAAGATCAATAAATAGTTAAATAAAAAGAGTGGGGCGGGGATACATAATTTTGCAGATGGAACAGGTGATGACAGGGGGGGTGGCGGAGAGGTCAAGTTGTATAAGGAGAGAGGTTTAAGAGCTTGTTCACACTTGACTTTATTTCTAACTCTTGACAAATGCCCCTATAGTGTTTGACAGGCGTTTGGGAAGCGTTTTTAACGCTCCTCAAGTGCTCCCCTAATGCCCTATGTGCGGTTTTGAGGCATGTGATAAGCATTAAGCAAGCGTTAAAACTGCACCACAAATGCCTGTAATGAAGTTAAATGGTATTGACGCCCTGAAAATGCCTCGCAACCACACCGCAAACGTCTGCCAGGCATTTGAGGAGCGGCACCATAGACTTGAAGGGGAGGCTTCAACTCCTGACTCGACATGAGGCGCCAGTTTTGCCATGATGCAATGCTAACGCTTGAGTGTGAACAGCACTGTGTGCTGCCAGTGCAGAATTTTCATAGGCGTTTGAGAAAAAAAACACGAAGAAGAATTCCAGTCCGCTATTATATTTTACATGAAAAGTCTTGCGGTTGCAACAATGTATCTATTTGTATCCGAATAAAAACATCTGTGTCTGAAATGGATACAATGTTGCAACCGCAATACTTTTCATGTAAAATATAATAGCGGAGCTCTTAGGGACAGAAGTAAAAAATGCCGGCCGTAGACGGGACGAAAATCGGCCTATTTTTTTTTTTGCCGTTGTTGGTAACGTCGGCCGATTGACGACCGATTTTTCAAAAAAATGGCCGTTTTTTTCACATATACTAGGCCCAATTAACCTAACAGCATGTCTTTGGAGTGTTGGCAGAAACACACCCATGCAGAGAACGCATGCAAACTGAGATGCAGCCATGACTGGGATTAGAACTCATGATCCACATGCTGTAAGTCTGAATTCTAACCACTAAGCTACTGTAGGAGACAGAGTTTGAGCTGCAATGTAGAATAGTTACATTGTTTAAGAATAATGATAAAGCGAGCGCTGGTAAAGTTATATAGACTACTAAAATGGTATTACACAAGATAAATATAAATATAGGTATAAATATGAAGGTAGCAGCTAGCACGCAGGGTATTGGCAACAGTCCCAGAATAGAAATATGTTAAATAATAGTGCAGTGCTATAAATGCATGTTATCAATCATCAACGCATGTAAAATAAAAAAAAGGGCAAATAATTGCCATAATGATGTAAACTGGTAAATGGTACTAAAAAAATGTTCATATAATAATTCCTGAATAATGGAATGTCATTTGTGTGAGAGTACCAACTCAGAGAGTGCCTATGAATGGCATGTGTGGTTTACCTGTGATGGACAGTAGTGCATGGACTCGTGAAAGGTAATCCACCCTTGGGACGGGTGTACACTCACCAAAACAAAGGTATTATGTGCATGGGTTATACACATCACACATCTGGGGGTGCAGCGGTATGCTGGAAGCTATGGGTTAGTCATCCAACTCCATCCATCAGGGTGGGTACCAAAATGGTCCTGGGGAGGAATTAGCTCAGCCACTGGAGCCAGAAAGGTGCTTAATAGTGTAGTACTTTATTATAATGGTCACGAGTAACAATTTAAAATATCCATGTGGAGTAATAAAAATAACAGCAAAGTGAGTACCAAGATGGCAGACGCTCCTCAATGGCGGTGGCGTAGCGTCAACAATAGGGATCCACCCAATGCATTTTGTGTACCAACACGTCCTATTGGTGTGCCCCTGAGGGCGTGTTGGTACATGAAATGCATTGAGTGGAGCCCTATTGCTCACGCCACCGCCATTGAGGAGCGTCCGCCATACTGTCCGTCACGGATAAACCGTCTGCACTACTGTCCGTCACGGATAAACCACACGTGCCATTCATAGGCACTCTCTGAGTTGGTACTCTCACACGAATGACATTCCATTATTCAGGAATGATTATATGAACTTTTTTTAGCACCATTTACCAGTTTACATAACTATTGCAATTATTTGCACTTTTTTTTATTTTACATGTGTTTATTTTATGATTGATAACATGCATTTATAGCGCTGCACTATTACTTTAACATAGAATAGTTACATGATTAAAGTGAAGGAATATATATCATTATATTGGGCAATTAGAACTAGACATTCCCAATTATTTGAGATATAAGTGTGAAAATGTTTGACATTTGAAAATAGAATGTATGACATTCATTAGGAAATGCATTAGTTGTCTGATCATTTTGGAGAAACAGCAACCAAAAAAAAAAATATATATAGGTGTACTTTTACTTTAAATTATAAGTATTCTCATATGCAAACACAAAAACGGGACAAAGCCCGTGGTTGTGCGGGACCTAGCGAACATATCCGATATTGCACCTAAAAATGTGCCAGACGCGATTCCACATTTACTAACAGGAAAGAGTCTACAAAGTAGACGCTTTTCAATGAGTTTGCTAGACGCCTTTCAGAACACTGACAGGTCTTGATTGATTTAATTGAGTCTGCCTGAATGTTCAGTGTCTGCTGGTAGACTCAATTCTTAGTAAATCAGGGCCATGGTGTCCTGGGGTATTTCCTCCCAGATCTGGACCAGGGCATCACTGAGCTCCTGGAAAGTCTGAGGTGCAATCTTGTGGCGTGTCGGATGGACTGAAACATGATATCCCAAAGGTGTTCTATTAGAGTTAGGTCAGTCGAGCGTGGGGGTCATTCATTGGTATCAATTCCTTCATCCTCCAGGAATTGCCTGTATACTCTCGCCACATGAGGCCGGGCATTGTCGTGCACCAGGAGGAACCCAGGATCCACTGCACCAGCGTAGGGTCTGACAATGGGTCCAAGGATTTCATCCTGATACCTAATGGCAGTCAGGCTGCCATTGTCTAGCCTGTAGAGGTCTGTGCGTCCCTCCATGGATATGCCTCCCCAGACCATCACTGACCCACCACCAAAACGGTCATGCTGAATGATGTTACAGGCAGCATAACGTTCTCCATGGCTTCTCCAGACCCTTTCATGTCTGTCACATGTACTCAGGGTGAACCTGCTCTCATCTGTGAAAAGCACAGGGCGCCAGTGGCAGACTTGCCAATTCTGGTGTTCAATGGCAAATGCCAATCGAGCTCTATGGTGCCGGGCAGTGAGCACAGGGCCAACTAGAGGACATTGGGCCCTCAGGCCACCCTCATGAAGTATGATTGGTCAGAGACATTCACACCAGTGGCCTGCTGGAGGTCATTTTGTAGGGCTTTGGCAGTGCTCATCCTGTTCCTCCTTGCTCAAAGGAGCAGATACCGGTCCTGCTGATGGGTTAAGGACCTTCTATGTCCCTGTCTAGAGTAACTGCCTTTCTCCTGGAATCTCGTCCATACTCTTGAGACTGTGCTGGGAGACAGAGCAAGCCTTCTGGCAATGGCACGTATTGATATTCCATCATGGAGAAGTTGGACTGCCTGTGCAACCCCTGTAGGGTCCAGATATCACCTCATGCTACCATTTGTGACACTGATCCTAGCCAAATGCAAAATTAGTGAACAACAGTCAGACTTGATGCTATACCCTTATTAAAAAGTGTTCCTTTAATTTTTTTTGAGCAGTGTACATTGAAATACCAAGCTGCAAATGCATGCTAAGCAATATTTTTTTCAATGAGCACATTTGGGAAACAGCACCACCTGCCAAATGCAACATGCTGGGTTAGATTTGTTGGACTGCAAAGCATTGTGGCTGTGGCAATATGAATGGACCTGAGCAGCTGTCATGTTAATTTGAATGTAAATGGTCAACCTCCCCTTTTTCACCACCATTTGCTGCCTGTGTGAACTCAAAACCTGAATAAAACCCAACTTCCTTTGAAGTGATATTTGAGGATGAATTGCTCCATAATGCCTGTGGCTACAGAGGTGAGGGTTTGTTTAAAAAGTCTGTTATTGTTGTTTAACCGCCTCCCACCCGCCATATAGCGTAATGACGGGTGCAAGGCGGTTCTCTCGTTCTGGGAGGATGTCATATGACGTTGTCCCATTCTAACCGCGCATGCGCGGCTCCGGGAGCGTGCAGCATGGCGATCAATGGTGCGTTGTGTCCCTCGGACACAGCGGTTCACCAATCAAAGGAAAGAGCCGAAGATGTTGCCTCAGTTATGTGATCAGCTGTGTCCAATCACAGCTGATCGCATGTTAATAGGGAAATTCCGGTTATCTGCATTTCTCTCCTCACAAGCTGTCACTCTGACAGCTCGAGAAGAGAGCAGAACAGGTAATCAGCATCCTTCAGAGGGGACATGTGCACTGATTATCAGGGCACTGATGATCAGTGTGCCCTGATGATCTGTGTAGCCTCAGCAGTGCCACCTGTCAGTGTCCATCAGTGCCAGCTGTCAGTGCTCATCCATGCCACCTGCTAGTGTCCATTAGTGCCACATCAATGCCACATATCAGTGCCTACCAGTGCACATCAATGCCACATATCAGTACCCATTTGAGTTGCCTTTCAGTGTCACCCATCAGTGCCACCTATCAATGCCAGTCAGTGCCGCCTATCAGTGCTGCCAATCAGTGCTGCCTATCATTGCCAATCAGTGCCGCCTATCAGTGTGCATCAGTGCCGCCTATCAGTGCCCGTCAGTGCTGCCTATCAGTGCCGCCTAACAGTGCCAGTCAGTGCCGCCTATCAGTGCCGCCTATCAGTGCCATATATGAGTGCTGCCTTTCAGTGCCCATCGATGATGCCTGTCAATGCCCATCAGTGCCACCTACCAGTGCCTCCTCATCAGTGCCCATCAGTGCCACCTATCAGTGTCCATCTGTGCAGCATATCAGTGCCCATCACTGCAGCCTCATTAGCGTACATCAGTGAAGGAGAAAAATCACTTATTTACAAACGTTTATAACAAAAACTAAGAAAAAAAACGTTTTTTTTTTCCAAACTTTTCAGTGGTCTTTGGTTTGTTTAAAAAAAAAATAAAAAACCCAGAGGTGATTAAATACCACCAAAATAAAGCTCTATCTGTCTCAAAAAAAATGATAAAAATTTCATATGGGTACAGTGTTGCATGACCGCGCAATTGTCATTCAAAGTGTGACAGCGCTGAAAGCTGGAAATAGGCCTGGGCAGGAAGGGGGTATAAGTGCCCTGTAGGCTAGTGGTTAAGAATTTCCGAAATGTTAATTTCCACAGTCTGGGTACAGGTGCACTTTAAATAAATAGATTGTGACCTTTCAAACATACTCTTGCTCTATTTGGTTCATTTTCTCTCTGCTTAGTGTGTAGTATTGAGTTCAGTGTGCGTCCTGACCTCAGTTGTTGGAATAAGTACTTGTAATGTTCTTGACAGTCTCTACCACATCACTCCTTTGCTAGCCAGATACCTACCTCATATGCTCCTTGTACTGCGTAAGTTGAGTACAGCAGACAGCAAAACATCTGTATAAAATAAAATAAAGTGAGCGCTCATTAAATAAAAAGAAAATATCAATGAAAAGTAAGCAGCTAATGGCACAAGAGGGGATCACAACCTCCTCTGACTGTATAAATAGATGAATAAAGTGCAGCGCTAAAGCATATCAAAAAAGTTCGTTCTTAGAAGTTCGTTGTCAAAAGTTCATAAGATATCTCGATCAATACTATGGTGTACACAGCTAGAAGGATCCAGTAGAAATGACAGAAATGCGCACTAACCGACCGCGCATAGGAAATGCGCATTTGTGTGTTAAAAACACAAGTGTCGAACTCCCTCAGGACGAGGTATCATCAGGCGGTGATCTGCTAGGCTCACAGGACCTCCTTAAGATCAGGATTAAAGACGGCCAGGTGAGGGCTCCCTCCTCCAGATATAGCTGTGTCTGCCAGTCTGATAACCCCTCAATAAGGGGTAAAAAACGGGAGAATGCCCATAGTGTAGTATATCAAAAGTTTATTTAAATAACATATATAACAGGACAGGTCAGTATTCAAACTGGCAAACAGCCAGAAAGTGTATAGTAAAAATACTGGTACTGACCTAGAGTAAAATGGCCGCCAGACCTCCTCGTGGTCTGGGCGGCGATGAGGCGTCACAAGCTGTCAGTTCCAGGAGGAACTGACAGCTTGTGACGCCTCATCGCCGTCCAGACCACGAGGAGGTCTGGCGGCCATTTTACTCTAGGTCAGTACCAGTATTTTTTTACTATACACTTTCTGGCTGTTTGCCAGTTTGAATACTGACCTGTCCTGTTATATATGTTATTTAAATAAACTTTTGATATACTACACTATGGGCATTCTCCCGTTTTTTACCCCTTATTGAGGGGTTATCAGACTGGCAGACACAGCTATATCTGGAGGAGGGAGCCCTCACCTGGCCGTCTTTAATCCTGATCTTAAGGAGGTCCTGTGAGCCTAGCAGATCACCGCCTGATGATACCTCGTCCTGAGGGAGTTCGACACTTGTGTTTTTAACACACAAATGCGCATTTCCTATGCGCGGTCGGTGAGTGCGCATTTCTGTCATTTCTACTGGATCCTTCTAGCTGTGTACACCATAGTATTGATCGAGATATCTTATGAACTTTTGACAACGAACTTCTAAGAACGAACTTTTTTGATATGCTTTAGCGCTGCACTTTTTTCATCTATTTAGCAAAACATCTGTGCCTTTGTGAATGCTTGTATACGCTGAGGGAATTTTTTACACTAACTATTGTTCCTTTCATATACCCAAATAGGTTTAGGGGAATAAAACATATTATTTTGATACAGCTCTGTAGAGAGTTGACAAGTGTAATAGTGGAAATGAAACAATTTCCAAGGGAGGATCGAGCAAATTGATCAATTTTTCTATCAAAAACTTCAACAGATCTTATCTTCATTAATCTTTAGCAAAGTAGATTGCATGTCTGGTAAAAGATGTCTGGCATAAGGTATACTGTAGAGCAGAGTGCATAATTATGAGCTGTCGTTTCAAACATTTGGTCTACCATTTATATGGATGTTTATGGAATTTTACATTGTTTTTAAATCTCCTTTGAATGCCATAACCAGAGTACAGGGCTAGAAGAGTCTTATATGTGAAACAACAATATAACTTGCTCGTCTAAAACAAAGTAAGGTTTTTTATTGTGTTTGGCAGGAGAGCTCTTTAGACTAAAAATACAGATTTGTGACATTTGCACCTGTTATTGCCAAAGAAACCTTTGATAGGCATTTAAACATAATAAGACCTTAATAGTTATGATTGCATGACTGATGATTGTAATACTCTAAGCTGAAGGCTACTAGTGTTGTGGGGAATAAAGATGGGTAAACCAAATGAAATGAAATGAGCTTCAATGTGGAAAATACACATTCTCAACAAATATCATCAGAGTGTATTACTCCTAAATATTTGCCTGCCATTGTACTTCTGGGCACGATTGAAATCTTGAATTTGTGAGCCAGTTGCACAGTTTAATATGTCACCCTGGCTTTATGAAAAATGCTGCATCATATTAGAACTACCAGAAAAAAGGGGGAACATAAATTCACACACAGAGGAAATAAGATGACTGCAGGTACAGTAAGGGAGAGACATGAATAAGGATTCTGGACCCATGTTACCGCACGTCAGATGTATTTGCTGCTGCAGTTATCATACTGTCTGGACTTGGCTCTATCTGCCAGTTTCACAAGAAGCACCTCACCTAATAAAAATCATCAAAGCAGTATCTGGTTAGATTGGACTGCTGCTCTTTTAATGTCTCCTGTGTTTACCAAAGGGCAGTTATTGCAGTCTTGGATCGATATATCTGTACTGTATATTAATATCTTATGAGCATGTATAGAAGCATACAAACCTGCTGTTTACATTGTTATCATTGTAAAGCCATCATTATAAAAATTAGAAGAGTAAAGTGGATAGATGGATTTTATATAGCAAGTATGCAGTCATCTTATAAAGTGATGCATTGGTCATGTCAGCTAGTCCATAGCCAGTGATAGACATATTGCACATGACCACAGAGCCACTGTGGTCTTGTATAGTTGCAGCACTCAGCACCTGGCACCTCCCTGTATGGGCAAGGGAATTGTTTGTGGACGTATAGGAAAGCATGAAGAGATAACCTCATACCTCCCAACTGTCCCTGATTTTGAGGGACTGTCCCTGATTTGGATCAAAGTCCCTCTGTCCCTCTTTCCTCTGCATCTGTCCCTCATTGTGGTCTGATATATATAGATGTATCAAATGAACTCAAAAGATAAATATAAAAGTGAGCGCTAGATAAAAGAGCTGCTATGCGCCAATAGGTACCAAAAGACTCTATAAAAGACATGCAAAAAAGGGGGGCGCAGCGCTAAAATACAATATAGTAATTAAACATACATATATAAAGTGACAATAAAGTGCCAAAAACTGTGCATAAAGGCAATAAAAGTCCTGAAGTAGTAAACGGTGACTGAAAAACGTGCGTCTTCCGGTGATCAGAATAATTGAATCATGCACTCACCAGATGCATAATTCAAATATGCATATAGATGATATCCCGATATCCAAACGAAGTTGTCTCATAAACGGATAAGGTCATCATCTGAGTGCAGCAGTCTGTCCAAATTTTCTTCTTATGGATCGTGTGTTGCCACACTAAAACACCCCTCAGCTGTCCCCTAGGAGACTCTGCAAGTAATGGGCTCAGCAGAGTCCCAAGAAAAAAAGCCAGGATGGTGTGATACCGTTTAAAATAAAAATGTATTGATCCCGGGAAAATGGCGGACGCGGTTATACGATTGCCAGATACTATTTATACAGGGTTTGGAGTATTTGAATTATGCATCTGGTGAGTGCATGATTCAATTATTCTGATCACCGGAAGACGCACGTTTTTCAGTCACCGTTTACTACTTCAGGACTTTTATTGCCTTTATGCACAGTTTTTGGCACTTTATTGTCACTTTATATATGTATCAAATGAACTATTTATCTTTAAAAAAGTGTATCTCACTTTTAATCTTTTATCCAGTTTCTAAATTGCTGCATTTGTAAACTTCAAAAGCCAGTATAAAGGAATAGTATTGGTAAAAAAAAAAGCACTTGGGAGTTTAGTGGCAGGGGCGTGCGTCCTATGCCTACATAAATTTGCTAATAGGTGTCCCTCATTCCCATCTCAAAAAGTTGGGAGGTATGTAACCATAAGCTGGATAGTTACTCTTATGTAAACATACTCTTATGTAAATACAACATCAAGATATATACAGTAGACTCACCTGGATTTTCAGTTTTTTCTATGACTTTTTCTAGCTGGTGCTACTCATGCATATGTAGGATTAATACATCTATTCTCATGTGGTTTCGCATGCCAGATAAAAAAAATTAGCTACATTTAAGCGGAACTTTACCAATAAAAGTTTAAGGGGTTTCAGATGCCGGGAGGCGGGGTTTATGATCATGTGACTGCCGTGATTGGCTCTCACGGTGGTCATATGGTCACAAAGCTCCCTATCGAATGTAGAGATTGGGAGCTTTCTGTTAGCTGCACAGTGTATGCTCTAGGCCAGGGGTTAAAATTTTGAATCCAGACATACTAGCCCGTCACAAAACTTACTCTCCACCAGTTGCCCCACCCAACCTTGCCCAGGTCCACCCCAAACCCCACCCCCGGCCCGCCCAAACCCTACCCCCAACCATGCCCCCTAAAGCTTATGAAATTACATTTTTTTTAGAATAA